CAGAACCCAGACCAGAGGAGGCTGCCAAATTTCTTTCCTGCAATGATCATATCTCTAGGGTAAGGATGGAAATATTAAGAGAATCTGCAACTCGTTTCAAGCACAGGAGGTTATGGTGACCCTGAAATTGCATTTGGGCTCTGATGTTAAGAGGAAAGTTGTAAAATAGTGTTTGTTTTGTATAATTTTTTTTCTAAATTATCTGTTTCTTTGATACTTACCAATTTATAAATTTGGGAACTAAATGGGTTTTTGCCCAATCAGTTCCCTGTCCTATAGATTAAAATTATCACATGATTATATTACATCTTTGTCAGCAATATGGCCAACAAGAAAAAAGTCAGGAAATAAACTGAAGGGATTATCTAGCAACCGAAGAACTACCAGCTTTACCAAAACAACAAAAAGAAAATAGATTACATAAACTCTAAAAATTAGTAAGCAAAGTAAAAGAAAAAACTAAAGAGAAGTTCCAAACTTTTATTATTCAGAAAAGTAAGTAATTAGTATGAAGTTAGAATATAGAGTTTTGGAAATAGCAAAGGGAGATGAACAAGAGTGTAACTTTTGTTTTCTAGATTATGATGATCCAATTCTCCTTAATTTTGATACTGCTCCTGCTACTCATCAAATGGTAGCTCATAACACTCCTGATTGACATTCTGACATCGTTTTTATTTGTATTGAATGTAAAAAAGATTATGATAATAACACTCTTTCATGCTGTGAGAAATGTGGTAGGTTAAAAAGGAATAGAAATAGATGTTTTTGTAGTTGTCTAAAAACTAAATCAATTAAGCCACTTTCTGATAAGGATCTACTTTCACAAGCTTTCAGTTCTTGTTTAGAAAATAAAACTAGAGAACTAGAAAAAGAGTTATCAACTATTAATACTAAAGAGGAATTAAATATTGAAAGAGAAGAAGTAGCCAAATTTCAAGAGAAATCAGAAGAGTGAAGTAAAAAGCAAAAACAAGAGTTATTGAATAAGATTAAGGAGTTGGAAGAAGAAAATGGCAATTATAAAGAAGAAATTCAAAGATTAAAAACTCAGTTAGAACAGTTAGTTAACTTTGCAACAAGTTGCTCAAATTGAAGTTAAAGAACCCAAAAAATGACCTTGATTGAAAGCAAGAAAGTAATTTAAAGAAGATTGAGAAAATATTTTCCTCTATATAAATGAAATTCATTCCAATTGTCCTTTAGATGAAGTTAAAGAAAATATCCTGGCTTTCAATATCTTATTGATGATAATCCAATAATAATAAAAAAAGCAAATACAGTATTACTGATAAAAATAAGATTTACATTCTTCCTTATTCAAATAGAAACCTAACTACTACTCAAGATTATGACATCATTTTAGCACAAAGAGTTTTAGAAATATTTAACCAATAGTTTAATTACAATATAAAAGAGTTATTGGTTTATTAAATTAAGCTAATAATTAACTAAAAAAATAGGATTAATTTTATATGAATACCTGATAAATATCAGCACTTTCAATATTTACTAATAGGCTTTTAAACTATATGATAAAAATACTAAGAATATTATTAACTTATTGGTATGCTAATACCTTGATTATCTTTTTAAAGAATAATCAGATTCTGATATTTGCTGATACCCCATTACCCAATTTGGCATCATTCAACCAGTAAAAAGAGAACCAATAGATTATATATAAGCAAGAAAGACGGGACTATAAATTAGCATAAAAGAATTTTAAATCATGCACAAAACCATAATAGCTTGAGAGCAGTCATACAATTTTTTTATTGTATATTTTAAATATAATTAATTATATGTCTTTAATAAAACAAACATGACTTAGCTATTTAATCCTTTCCTTTCCTTGTATGTGAACACCTCCATCCATCAAATATTCATGATCATTATGCAATATGTTTGATATCACCATTGGCATAACAAACAATTGAATCACCCAGGTAGTAACAATACCAAGGCCATGCAAAAATGAAACTTTTAATAATGTGTGTCTACCCAGATCTCTGAGGGCTCACTAAATAAATTATCTTTTCTGATTATCAATTATGGTTCCTTATGAATAATAATTCTGATGTTGATTGCAGGTGTCACATTTAATTAAAATTTCCTGTCACAAACATGGAATAAGGTGCTTTCACACCTCCTCATCCCTATGGATTTTTTTCCACAGGTGAGGTAACCCAAACATGTTGGAAAGCTTTGGACAAAACTTTCCTTTATCTTCCTCTCAGACCAGACTTGACTGTTTCCATATGGATATTGATCACTGATGAGGATCAGTATTTGCGTGATGATTGCTTTGTATTATTACCCTCTAGAATAATGTCTGTGTCTGCAATGGTTTGAAGATGGTAATACAGAAAACATGTAATGTATGAACCTCTATGTATGTAACGTATGAATTTACTTCCATACATGTATGAAAAATGCAGATCATACATACATACATTTTTATTAAATTAACTAGCAATTGTATCTGTGGGCAACTAACATCACCCAATTATCATTATATACCATATTAATGTTAAGTGCTAAATAAATATATTAAAAAATTTATTTTACATTTATTCCTATATATACATAT